AGTGACAAATGCTTGGGAACCTGGTGAAAATCTCCAAGCAGCATTTAAATAAAGTAGATAAAGAGATATTGAGTGGACACTGGGTGGACAAATGTGCAAATGTCAGTATTGCACATGATTGCACATGGTGGTTTACTACAGCAAACATGTAAACATGACTCTTTCTGTTGTCAGAAACAAAATATATTTAATAAACTAAAGTTATGTTGTGGTGTTTTCCAAGTTGTCCACAGGCTGAAAAGCATTACATCATGACATTCCATTACACATCTTCTAGAATGTAGTTGAATGTTGTCTCCATGGCGACAGTCAAACCTGCAGATGCTTGATTTGAGCTGAGCAGTTGAACTGAGCAGTCGCACACGTGTTGAGCAGGCGGATTTACGTCTACAAAACGTTTTAAATAATCTTATCTTTGACACGTGAACAGGTAAGTGTTATTAAGACATGTGGGAGTGATTATAGTTCAGGTAAAACTGATTTTTATCTGTAAATAAGTTTGTTAGAAGGAGCCAGAGGTGTGGACTCGAGTCATGTGACTTGGACTCGAGTCAGACTCGAGTCATGATTTTGATGACTTTAGACTCGACTTGACCAAATATAAAAAGACTTGCAACTCGACTTGGACTTTAACATCAATGACTCTGACTTTCACTTGGACTTGCGCCAATTGACTTGTAAAGACTTGCGTAACCCGGGCCATTTTTACCTTTCTCCGCATCTCTCTTTCTATCTATGCCGTCTCTGAAGAAACAAAGCCTCGCGGTAGTTGTAGCGCTCGCGAGAGAGTTCGAACGTGAGTTCCCCGCAGTTCGCGCAGCAACACTTCCCTAAACAAGCGGACTGCATTCACCGGTGGGTGTGTTGTCGTAGGGGAGCTGGAAATGAGCGAGCTGCAGGTATTTATCGCGACCTAACGTCATATTTTGTTCTACAAACCGTAATTATATGCTTTCACTACAGGCGCCTCATACAATTGAATCGACGCAGTTGTCACACTGTGTGCCGTGTTTTAAAGAGGAACTGGTGAGTCAAACTAACGCTAGCCTGCGCTGCTCTGTTGGCTCTTTCTTATATTTTTCTGTGTGGGCGCCGAGGCCTATTATTATTATTATTATTATTATGATTGCTGTGCTCCTCCTGCTAAAGTTTGCATACATTAGATAGTTGTTTTGATTATGTGCACTAAGCTAGATTAATATTTGCACTATTGTTTATGGTGCATTGATATGAGAATCAGTACTTTGACTGATTGAATTAATTTATATGAGACATTTTATTATGTAATGATATATTGGTAATTATGAGATATTACTAATGCTGGCCCAGTTCATACAGGCCAGGTTTTTTTTTTTGATGGCGAGCTGCCCCAGGTCCAAAGCCTAGACCCCTCATACTACCCCTATCCTACAGTAGGACATTTGGAACAATAACCACTACGGACATTAAACTGATTATATAGATACAGGTCCTAGCCAAATACTCATATTCATATATGCTGCACTTGCTACTTCCCATTAAAAACCCCAAAGATAAAAAGTATGTTGACACGGACTGCTCTGATTTTATGTGTGGTCTGTGCATGTGTAACTGAGCCTGCATCTGGCACAACATCCAATTAGATCACGTAGATAGTTTTGATTTATCAGCAGCCAACGACATGGAACAAACTGTTAGTCCATGGGTCAGAGACCAACGAGAATGCACCAGCAAAATGATTCCTAACATTATTTTGTTTGCCTACAAAAGTATGTGGAGACCAACAAGAAACAAATCGCGGTCAAAAAGACTCGAGAGGACTCGAAAGTCAAACCGTAGGACTTGGGACTGACTTGAGATTTGTTGGCCTTTGACTTGGACTCGACTCGGGACTTGCCTGTCTTGACTCGTGACTTGACTCGGGACTTGAGGGCAATGAATTGAGACTGACTTGTGACTTGCTAAACAATGACTTTGTCCCACCTCTGGAAGGAGCTAACGTTAGCATAACATCAGTCAAGTTGTGTTTCAAACAATTGCAGACATAAAATAAATAAATACTATATTTAACATGACTTAAAGCTGGGGAACCTGAGTAAACCATAAAACCATGGACCTAACAACTCGTACACCATCGTCACTCGACTGAAAAATATTGGAGAGTGTACTCTCCTCGCTAATAACACGGGCGCGTATTTCAAGTTAGCTCCTGACGCAAAGCTCGGCGAGTCTCTCCACGTGACGCGTGCGGTGTGAGCGAGCGGTAACGGTCTGTAATAAAATCCATGTGACGAGTTTCTCACTCTCAAAACAGTTTGATTCATCACTTGCTTTCACATGCATGTATTTTAGACCTCTGTCACATGTTTAAACCTGCTTTTTCAGACAAAAAAGGGAAAAAGAGGACCCCTCACTCACAGCCAGAGTAAAATAGTGTCTCAGTTTAGTGTTGGATAAGAGTTGTTGTGTATGGCTCTTAATACAGTTTAAATAAAACATGTGTTATTGATGATAAAAGTGTTTCAGAGCTTTAGTTCAACATGAAGTGACAGGACTGTGTTAAGGCTGAAACAAAGCATTAGACTGCTGGAGAATGAAAACATGCTTGATTTAACAATATTATTACAGTTAGAATGACCAGCAGAACTATTATGATTAAAAATGAGATGAATAATAAAGTAATTTGGAGTTTGTGAATAACATGTTGTTGGCCAGCACAGTCTTATTTAGTTTATATATTTTGCATATTTGTAAAAAAAAGCCCTGTGAGAAGCTAGCGGAGCTAGCCACGCCCAATAAACAAATACCAATCAATCAATCAACTCCTTTAAATGTTAATCAGGGAATAGATTATACATTTACATCCTTAACACACAGAGTTATTTGTTAACGTTTTCATGACAAAAATACTGTTTTAATGTGACAAAAAGCGATCGCGATAAACCCGGATGTAACCATTATCATGAAACGAAAATTTTATGACACATTTGTGGAGGATTTGATTATGGATTTAGGTTCGGTATGTAAATGGGTAACTCGCCGCTGATATCCAGAATTCTTTGTTCAGTTTTCATGTAGTTCCAGAGAGTTTTTGAACTAGCTAGCTTAGCTGTTACCTGCCTAGCTGTGTGTGTGAGTGTGTGTGTGTGTGTGGGTGTGTGCGTGTGTGTGTGTGTGTACGCATCTGGTTGTGTATATAATTATAAATGTGGTTTCCGCTCCTCGTTCTGTGATTGGAGGAGAGCTGGCGTCACGCTAAGTCTCTACTCAGCACTTTTTACGGCCTGAACTCACACACAAGCTGAATCAATGAGCTCAAGTTTTCATTAGAAAATAAATCGGGTATAGCATCTTTGAGTGTAAATGTGAGCACAAATGCACATAACAGTGACAAATGCTTGGGAACCTGGTGAAAATCTCCAAGCAGCATTTAAATAAAGTAGATAAAGAGATATTGAGTGGACACTGGGTGGACAAATGTGCAAATGTCAGTATTGCACATGATTGCACATGGTGGTTTACTACAGCAAACATGTAAACATGACTCTTTCTGTTGTCAGAAACAAAATATATTTAATAAACTAAAGTTATGTTGTGGTGTTTTCCAAGTTGTCCACAGGCTGAAAAGCATTACATCATGACATTCCATTACACATCTTCTAGAATGTAGTTGAATGTTGTCTCCATGGCGACAGTCAAACCTGCAGATGCTTGATTTGAGCTGAGCAGTTGAACTGAGCAGTCGCACACGTGTTGAGCAGGCGGATTTACGTCTACAAAACGTTTTAAATAATCTTATCTTTGACACGTGAACAGGTAAGTGTTATTAAGACATGTGGGAGTGATTATAGTTCAGGTAAAACTGATTTTTATCTGTAAATAAGTTTGTTAGAAGGAGCTAACGTTAGCATAAAACATCAGTCAAGTTGTGTTTCAAACAATTGCAGACATAAAATAAATAAATACTATATTTAACATGACTTAAAGCTGGGGAACCTGAGTAAACCATAAAACCATGGACCTAACAACTCGTACACCATCGTCACTCGACTGAAAAATATTGGAGAGTGTACTCTCCTCGCTAATAACACGGGCGCGTATTTCAAGTTAGCTCCTGACGCAAAGCTCGGCGAGTCTCTCCACGTGACGCGTGCGGTGTGAGCGAGCGGTAACGGTCTGTAATAAAATCCATGTGACGAGTTTCTCACTCTCAAAACAGTTTGATTCATCACTTGCTTTCACATGCATGTATTTTAGACCTCTGTCACATGTTTAAACCTGCTTTTTCAGACAAAAAAGGGAAAAAGAGGACCCCTCACTCCAGCCAGAGTAAAATAGTGTCTCAGTTTAGTGTTGGATAAGAGTTGTTGTGTATGGCTCTTAATACAGTTTAAATAAAACATGTGTTATTGATGATAAAAGTGTTTCAGAGCTTTAGTTCAACATGAAGTGACAGGACTGTGTTAAGGCTGAAACAAAGCATTAGACTGCTGGAGAATGAAAACATGCTTGATTTAACAATATTATTACAGTTAGAATGACCAGCAGAACTATTATGATTAAAAATGAGATGAATAATAAAGTAATTTGGAGTTTGTGAATAACATGTTGTTGGCCAGCACAGTCTTATTTAGTTTATATATTTTGCATATTTGTAAAAAAAAGCCCTGTGAGTCAATATTTGACTATTTAAATGAACTATATGACTTTCAGGTGGACTAGGTACAATTTAAGGTCAAAAGTTAAATTTGTCTTCTTATGTTTAAAGCTTTAAAGGTTCTTTTAATAAGACAAGAAAGTAACATGCAACAGTTTTAAGCTGTATTAACAGTTTGGAACTCACTGTGGTTTTTGTGGTTTAAAGTTTGAGTACCGCCACTACTGCTGGTGATTCTGCTGGTGTGTTGAGCCCTGAGAGTTACTTTTTGACTGTTTGGGTGAAGTGAGAGTGGTCCACTCTTTCAGTTTTCTGTCTGAAAAGGTTATAAATGTCCTGTTTGTGTTTCAGTTTTCTCGCAGAAATGTCAAATTTGACCCGTGAGGATATTTTGGAGGCACTGCCTGAGCGTTACACGATTGACAACATCTTGGAACAAGGAGGATGCGGTCAGGTGGTGAAATGTTTGACCAAAGACTCGGGTCAGGCTGTGGCCGTCAAGCTGCCGTTTTACGAACAGGACACCGAGAAGGAGGTAAGACAGTCCTCTATATTTTTTTCATTAATTGTGTTAAAAAAATTAACGCATTGACATATTTGCCGAATGACCCGTGCATCCCATAATAACATTCAAAAGTGTCTACAGGCTTCTCATTTTAAGAAACCCTCCTACTAGGGTTGCCAACTTGAGAACAAAAAAATAAGGGACACCATTTGGGTGGATCGGGTTGAGCACTTTTTAGTCCTAATTTCAATCTACACAGTAATCATGGAATTTCATAATCACAGTTTTTAGATTGTAATTTATTGACTACATATACAAAAAAAAAATCCTTAGTCAAAAATGAAATTGAATAAATAGGTGGAACTCTTTGGCTGGTTAAGGACTTAATGCATTCTTATTAGTAATACAAAAATATAAAAAAGACAAATACTGTTTTTTACTGAATGTTACAGTAAAAAACAATTTCTGTAAAAGCAAATAAAAAAAGAAAAACATATGTATTCATTAAGAAAACTCACAAATCAAAGTCTGTAGCAGTTCGATATGGTCATCATCATTTATATTGTCTGAGTTTTATGCAGGTTTGTGGCTTCAGTAAAAGCTATTGTTTGTTTACAAAGCTGGTCTGGATATTTGTTGACGGTCCCTAAGTGCTTTTCTCGGCGCTTGCAGTGCATTGGATTCGGAGGATTTCTCTGCATTAAAACAGCGCATTGAAATTGTAAAATCAACGTAGAGATGATCATTTTAGCACAATTACTTTTGTTTAACAAAGTAGCTTTCGTGAACTATTGACCGCGGAAGTCCGAATCTGGGAAAATGACGCTACTTTACCAAACTTCTGCCGTGATGATGCACGGCCCACGCTGGCGATTGCCAACATTAAACCAACGTCTGTGATCAAGCCTACGCCCCTTTGACACTGATTGGCCGAAAGGTAGATGCTTCAACTGTGATCATTACTGTGTGTGCGTGTGTCGCGCCTGTGACATGCAGTGAGTGAGTGATGCATTTAAGGTGGCTCTAAAAATACGGGACAAAAGCTGTCCCGTATCAGTTCAATACGGGACGCAGATAGTTTTTCTATAATACGGGACAATTCCGTTTTTCAAGGGACGGTTGGCAACCCTACCTCCTACTCACCACTATACTCTCTATGCTCTCCTTGCACTGAGCAATCTAGTTTTAGTAGCGACCTAATAGGCATTAGTTAGCATTAGCGCAACTTATTTTAAAGTGGTTCTCACCCCCGCTCCTCGGAGCTTACGTCACTCACATTTCCTGTTCAAATCTTCCTCTAAATGGGCGTAGCCTGGAGGACTAAAGGGGGCATGAACGAGACTGGGCCGTTTATATAGCTCTGGGCGGGGGGCTGCTGACGTGAGGTCTTGCTTCAGACGTCAGGTCTTGCTGCCGCGCCAGTGTTGGCGCCAGATTCAAAATTCAAATGTAGTAATACAGGTCGCCAGCAGATGGCGCCTCACAGACGGTTTTAGGCAGAAAGTTTAACTTTCAACTAATTTGCACCAAAGTGACAAAATTATGACCAGGATATGTAGACTACACTATTGGACACTCATTTAAATCGTTTATCAGCAAAAACAAGTGGATTTTAGGGTGAGTTGTCCTTTAAGCTGTACAGCAATCACTGACGAAATGCTACCAAAGCAATGCACTGCTATAACTGAAAGATTACCAATAGTTTCGCATTCTAAGTTAGTCCGAGGCGGTCCCGCTTCCTATTGAGCCGCGTCTCGGCTCAATAGTGGCCAAAATGGCGTGCGCTGACAAGCTTGCAATACCATCCCGGGCCGATTGGGGTGGACCCGGAATGAGAATTATTTAATGCCATAACATATAGCATTAGCTGACCTATCGAAAACGTCTTTACAGGATGGTCCAAAATTTGGATCTTGGCCCAAAGCCCCGTTCCACATGTGTCAATGTTGAGGGGAGTGAATTTTTTTGGACCAGTCTAGTTTAGTCGCTGTGATTTTTTGAAGGCACTTGTTAAATGAATGGGGCTCGTGCCGGCTGACGCATGCGCAGATGCGTTTTTTCACATTTTCCCGCCCATTTTGAATCAATGGAGCATTCTACTGCTGCTGTGAGGAGTCATGTAATAATGTTAATAATGTCATGATTCATTTTAATCCACATTAGTCGAGACATAAAGTGTGTGGTTGGCTGGTCACAGTGGTGCATTGAGCGATTTTGTTAGCTTAGCCGTGGCACCAACTTGAAAACCACTCACCCCCTCCCCTCTCCACCAAACCAAACATGCAGCATCTTCTTTTCTTTGTCGCAACAGGGAGAGTGGGTGCAAATATGAAAATGCATTTTCTGTTCAGTCATTTTAGGTTTTAGAAATTCCGATAACTCAGGTGCACTCATAAGAAACAGGAAGAGGGTGAAGGGGGGTAAACGCATCCCATTGATTCGTTGGTGATGATTTCATTTTATTTTTGGAGACTATAGGCCTCTGGTCAATTCCATTACCATTTGAAAACACATGATATCTTGACTACTTTTAGGGTTTAGGGACATTTTCCCACAATATTAATAAAAATGCGTCTGGAAAAAATCACTGACTGCATCTGTATAGCACATGATGTACAAAAGTCTGAACATCCAATCCCTGGTGTTTGCTGGTAATAGGAGCGGGGTCCTGCACAAATGGTTAGTTCCGAGATCCTCCCCCTGTCTCCAAAGAGCCGGTGTTCTGTGTGTAAAGTAGGACCCTCCCACTGTCTGGTCCTTCACTGCCCGTGCACAATGTGTAATCCTCACACTCTTTCCAAATGAGTGTTACATTCACTCTTCAGGACTAAAGTTTTCTACAAACTGCATAACCGTTAACGTGAGCAGAAAGACCTTCTAGTCTCCAGAACTTAAAGAAGCTATACCCAATTTTTTAAAAATTAGTTCATAATAATGCTTTTTACTACATAAAAGTTGCATTATAATCAGTAGTTTCATTGAAAACTTGAGCTCATTGATTCAGCTGTGTATGAATTCAGGCCGTAAAAAGTGCTGAGTAGAGACTTGGTGTGACGCCAGCTCTCCTCCGCCTGCGTCCTCCGACTGCGTCCTCTAGCCTCTACAGCGCTGGTAAACACTAGAGCTTTGACTTCAAAATTCGAATATATATCTAAAATTAAAAAATATATACATTCGAACGAATATTAGAAAGCCCTTAATATTCAAAATGTATTTAATGACTGAAAATAAAATTGTTAGCTCCCAAAGGTTTCACCGTGACGCACTAGGCAGGTAACAGCTAAGCTAGCTAGTTCAAAAACTCTCTGGAACTAGATGAAAACTGAACAAAGAATTCTGAACATCAGCTGTGAGTTACCCATTTACATACCGAACCTAAATCCATTATCAGATCCTCCACAAATGTGTCACAAAATGTTCGTTTCATGATAATGGTTACTTCCGGGTTTATCGCGATCGCTTTTTGTCACATTAAAACAGTATTTTTGTCATGAAAACGTTAACAAATAATTCTGAAAACCTCACGCTAGTTTTGCGTAGTCTTGAATACATTCCTATTACAGACAACTAAACCTATGCCGTCTAACCTAACTGTGTGCCCTGTGTGTTCAGATTGCTCTGCTCGAGGAGCTGATGGAAGAGAGGATGGACCAGCGAAACATCGTCAGGTTCATTGAGGCGTTTGACACCAGGTTGGGGAGAGCCATGGTGTTTGAACTGTTGGACATGAGTTTGTGGGGACTCGTGGACAATTATTATCCTCTGCCTCTGTCGGACATCTTCAGCATTGTGCAACAGGTCATTACATAAGTCCTTTTAAAACACTGACTTTGGGAACCATTATTGATTTATGATTTTCTGCTGCAGGTGGCCACAGCGTTGGACGTGCTCAGAGAGCGCTCCATGGTCCACTCTGACCTGAAGATGGGCAATGTGATGGTGGTGAACCATACTCAGAGGCCTCTGCACGTCAAACTGATCGACTTCGGTTCGACCATCCCCGCAAGCGAGACTGGGAGATTATCGACGGTCCACCACGAGATGTACAGGTAAGTCAGGCACCAGCAGCTATAACCAGCAGGGGGCGGCTGGTAGGGTTGGGACTAACTCGCTTAAGTATCAGGTTTTGATCAATAAATTGTATTGTATTGCATCATATTTTTGAATTACTCTGTTCTCTTCCGCAGGCCGCCAGAAGTCATTTTAGGCTCTGGTTGGGACGAAGGCCTGGACGTGTGGTGTCTGGGAGTCATCATGTCTCACCTGTGGCTTGGGTTTAATTTATTCCCTAATGTGGAGTATGAGGCTGTAAGTTACTGGACAAACTGGACAAGCTGTGAGTAATGTGTCCTAAAATGTGCTAACACAAATGTGTCTTTTTCTGGATATAGCTGAGAGTGATGCACAAACTCCTTGGCCCTCCTCCTGAGCACATCCTCAATAAAGGGAGTAATACAATGAAGTTTTACTATCCAGGAGACTATGGATGGGATCTAAGGGTGAATATAGTCAGTCTGCAACCATATGCAGAATCCTTTGCTTCCCTCAGAGATCTTGTCATGGTAATACTGTCGCTTTACCTTTCCCCAAACTGTGAAGTGAAGACAACACTGACCTGTTCCTTACTTGTTTCTAGGACGTTATGGGGGAGGACGAGAACAGAGAACCAGCCATAGACAACAGAGAACCAGCCATAGACCTCCTCGAAAAGCTGTTGGACATGGACATGAACAATAGGATTACTCCCAAACAAATCCTGAAACATCCAGCCATCTGTCATGAAAAGTACGTTCACTCTTGACTTGAATGTTTCACAAATAATAGCTTCAATTTTGTAGGATGTTTACGGTGTTGCACGGTTGTGCCAGAGTCATTCATTGCTGCTTGCGGCTTTATTTTGGGTTTGTTATGTGAAGCGTTTGTACTCTGTGTGATAGCATTTATTGTTTCAATTACAATTTGAGAAAAATAAGCAAAGTTCAAAGCCGACCTCATTCGTTGATAGCAGTCCTCTGTATGTAAACCGTACCAGGCTGGTCAGACCAGTTTGGAAATAAGGCACAATAGAATTTCTTTTTTATTTACTCATATTAATATTTTTATATTTTTATGCTGTGTAAACATGCTTTTAGTGAATGTGAATAGATCTTGCAAGATTGACAAACAATCCTGTTTGAGTTAGCTCTGATCCTCCATAGAGCCTGTTTGAGTTAGCTCTGATCCTCCATAGAGCCTGTTTGAGTTAGCTCTGATCCTCCATAGAGCCTGTTTGAGTTAGCTCTGATCCTCCATAGAGCCTGTTTGAGTTAGCTCTGATCCTCCATAGAGCCTGTTTGAGTTAGCTCTGATCCTCCATAGAGCCTGTTTGAGTTAGCTCTGATCCTCCATAGAGCCTGTTTGAGTTAGCTCTGATCCTCCATAGAGCCTGTTTGAGTTAGCTCTGATCCTCCATAGAGCCTGTTTGGGTTAGCTCTGATCCTCCATAGAGCCTGTTTGAGTTAGCTCTGATCCTCCATAGAGCCTGTTTGAGTTAGCTCTGATCCTCCATAGAGCCTGTTTGAGTTAGCTCTGATCCTCCATAGAGCCTGTTTGAGTTAGCTCTGATCCTCCATAGAGCCTGTTTGGGTTAGCTCTGATCCTCCATAGAGCCTGTTTGAGTTAGCTCTGATCCTCCATAGAGCCTGTTTGAGTTAGCTCTGATCCTCCATAGAGCCTGTTTGAGTTAGCTCTGATCCTCCATAGAGCCTGTTTGAGTTAGCTCTGATCCTCCATAGAGCCTGTTTGAGTTAGCTCTGATCCTCCATAGAGCCTGTTTGGGTTAGCTCTGATCCTCCATAGAGCCTGTTTGAGTTAGCTCTGATCCTCCATAGAGCCTGTTTGAGTTAGCTCTGATCCTCCATAGAGCCTGTTTGAGTTAGCTCTGATCCTCCATAGAGCCTGTTTGAGTTAGCTCTAATCTCCCACGAAGCACACATACCACCTGCCAAAAAACTCCCCATCAACGCCTTTCCCTGTCTGTAAATTGCCTCCATTTCTCCGGCCACACATCAACGCTTCCTCCTGTGGTACAAACTTTGGTGTCAGGTTTGACTCCAAACCTCACTTTTGACACACACATCCAACATCTCTCAAAAACGGCCTAAAAAGCTCCCAGATGACTTTGTTTCATTATTTCTGTTTTTATTTAACTATAAAAGTCACTCTTCTAATGTTGATGTTGTTTACAGACGCAGTGAGACCAACAAGGCTGAGCTCCAGGAAGCTCCTGCGACCTCTCCCAGGGTCATTATGGTGAAACCGGCCTCACCAGAGAACATCATTGAATTACAGGAGGTCGATGTCGTTCAGAAGGAGAGGTGAGGGTTGATTTTGGCTAGCACACCTTTTTTTTGTACTGGTCTTAAAAGCTACAGAAACACATTGTGTTCATTGTTACAGTCATTCTTCATACAATACTGTGACTGATACAAAATACTGTGAAAAGTTATAAAGAGTAATTGTATATTTGTTTTAGGATTCTGATGTCCAGAGAGAAGGCTCCTAAAACCTGTGATGTGATCCAACAGAAGGACAGGTGAGACTTGTTTACAGATCCTGTTTGAGTTAGCTCTGATCCTCCATAAAGCCTGTTTGGGTTAGCTCTGATCCTCCATAGAGCCTGTTTGAGTTAGCTCTGATCCTCCATAGAGCCTGTTTGAGTTAGCTCTGATCCTCCATAGAGCCTGTTTGAGTTAGCTCTGATCCTCCATAGAGCCTGTTTGAGTTAGCTCTAATCTCCCACGAAGCACACATACCACCTGCCAAAAAACTCCCCATCAACGCCTTTCCCTGTCTGTAAATTGCCTCCATTTCTCCGGCCACACATCAACGCTTCCTCCTGTGGTACAAACTTTGGTGTCAGGTTTGACTCCAAACCTCACTTTTGACACACACATCCAACATCTCTCAAAAACGGCCTAAAAAGCTCCCAGATGACTTTGTTTCATTATTTCTGTTTTATTTAACTATAAAAGTCACTCTTCTAATGTTGATGTTGTTTACAGACGCAGTGAGACCAACAAGGCTGAGCTCCAGGAAGCTCCTGCGACCTCTCCCAGGGTCATTATGGTGAAACCGGCCTCACCAGAGAACATCATTGAATTACAGGAGGTCGATGTCGTTCAGAAGGAGAGGTGAGGGTTGATTTTGGCTAGCACACCTTTTTTTTGTACTGGTCTTAAAAGCTACAGAAACACATTGTGTTCATTGTTACAGTCATTCTTCATACAATACTGTGACTGATACAAAATACTGTGAAAAGTTATAAAGAGTAATTGTATATTTGTTTTAGGATTCTGATGTCCAGAGAGAAGGCTCCTAAAACCTGTGATGTGATCCAACAGAAGGACAGGTGAGACTTGTTTACAGATCCTGTTTGAGTTAGCTCTGATCCTCCATAAAGCCTGTTTGAGTTAGCTCTAATCCTCCATAGAGCCTGTTTGAGTTAGCTCTAATCCTCCATAGAGCCTGTTTGAGTTAGCTCTGATCCTCCTTAGAGCCTGTTTGAGTTAGCTCTGATCCTCCATAAAGCCTGTTTGAGTTAGCTCTGATCCTTCATGAAGCCTGTTTGAGTTAGCTCTGATCCTCCATAGAGCCTGTTTGAGTTAGCTCTGATCTTCCACGAAGCACATGTACCACCTGCCAAAAAACTCCCCATCAACGCCTTTCCCTGTCTATAAATTGCCTCCATTTCTCCGGCCACACATCAACGCTTCCTCCTGTGGTACAAACTTTGGTGTCAGGTTTGACTCCAAACCTCACTTTTGACACACACATCCAACATCTCTCAAAAACGGCCTAAAAAGCTCCCAGATGACTTTGTTTCATTATTTCTGTTTTATTTAACTATAAAAGTCACTCTTCTAATGTTGATGTTGTTTACAGACGCAGTGAGACCAACAAGGCTGAGCTCCAGGAAGCTCCTGCGACCTCTCCCAGGGTCATTATGGTGAAACCGGCCTCACCAGAGAACATCATTGAATTACAGGAGGTCGATGTCGTTCAGAAGGAGAGGTGAGGGTTGATTTTGGCTAGCACACCTTTTTTTTGTACTGGTCTTAAAAGCTACAGAAACACATTGTGTTCATTGTTACAGTCATTCTTCATACAATACTGTGACTGATACAAAATACTGTGAAAAGTTATAAAGAGTAATTGTATATTTGTTTTAGGATTCTGATGTCCAGAGAGAAGGCTCCTAAAACCTGTGATGTGATCCAACAGAAGGACAGGTGAGACTTGTTTACAGATCCTGTTTGAGTTAGCTCTAATCCTCCATAGAGCCTGTTTGAGTTAGCTCTAATCCTCCATAGAGCCTGTTTGAGTTAGCTCTGATCCTCCTTAGAGCCTGTTTGAGTTAGCTCTGATCCTCCATAAAGCCTGTTTGAGTTAGCTCTGATCCTTCATGAAGCCTGTTTGAGTTAGCTCTGATCCTCCATAGAGCCTGTTTGAGTTAGCTCTGATCTTCCACGAAGCACATGTACCACCTGCCAAAAAACTCCCCATCAACGCCTTTCCCTGTCTATAAATTGCCTCCATTTCTCCGGCCACACATCAACGCTTCCTCCTGTGGTACAAACTTTGGTGTCAGGTTTGACTCCAAACCTCACTTTTGACACACACATCAAACATCTCTCCAAAACTACTTACTTTCATTTAAGAAACATTGCCAAACTCCGCTCTCTCTTTCCCTCTGTGATGTCGAGAACTTGGTCCACGTCTTTGTCTCGACCAGGCTGAACTAGTGTCACGCCCTCCTCGCCAGGTTCCCTGGCAGAATCCTTGATTGAGCGTCGACATTTACAGAACAGGGTCCTGACGAGGACAAGCAAGATCGACCACATAACCCCTGCCCTCAGTAAACTCCACTGGCCCTTGAACCTCTACATTGAATACAAAATCTGCCTCCTCACTCACCAATACATTCAAGGCAACACTCCAGCATTTCTGAAAGACCTCCTCCCCCTACAGTCCACATCAAGATCTCTCCGGTCTACAAATACTTACTATCTCAGCCAATCACTCGGCTCCGTTCCATGGAGGACAGGGCTTTTTCAACAGCAGCTCCACCTGTGGAACCCTCTGCTACAAGACCTGTAGGCACCACAGTCTGTGGAGCACTTTAAACAGCACCTTAAAACACAGCTGTTGATTGGCACCTTCTGCATTTTTATCCATTCTTAAACTTGTTTGTACTTATTCAGATGCTTTGATTGTGATTTTAACCTGCCGTAGCACCTTGAGCATACTGTATGAAAGCTGCATTATAAATAGTTTGCATTCATATTGTTATTATTCTTTGTCCCTAAAGCTCCCAGATGAATTTGTTTCATTATTTCTGTTTTATGTAACTATAAAAGTCACTCTTCTAATGTTGATGTTGTTTACAGACGCAGTGAGACCAACAAGGCTGAGCTCCAGGAAGCTCCTGCGACCTCTCCCAGGGTCATTATGGTGAAACCGGCCTCACCAGAGAACATCATTGAATTACAGGAGGTCGATGTTGTTCAGAAGGAGAGGTGAGGTTTGATTTTGGCTAGCACACCTTTTTTTTGTACTGGTCTTAAAAGCTACAGAAACACATTGTGTTCATTGTTACAGTCATTCTTCATACAATACTGTGACTGATACAAAATACTGTGAAAAGTAATTGTTTTTTTGTTTTGTTTCTAGTCACAAGGTTCTGATGTCCAGAGAGAAGGCTCATAGAACCTTTAACGTGACCCAACAGAAGAACAGGTGAGACTGTTTCAGGGACTTTGTGTTCACTCTAACACTCCATAGAGCAAGGGTGTCAAACCGGTTCCAGGAGGGACCAGTGAGGCTGGAGGTTTAGTTCCAACTTGAACAGTCTGGTGTGTTCCTGCTCAGGTTGGAATTAAAACCTGCAGCCACACCGGCCCTATAAGGACCAGTTTGACACCCCTGCCATAGAGCCTGATCAGTTAGCTCTAATCCTCCATGGAGCATTTGTTTGTCCCCGAAAGGCTCCCAGAAGACTTTGTTACATGATTTTTAATGTTGATGATGTTGACAGACGCAGTGGGAGCAGCAGAGCTGAGGTCCAGGAAGCTCCTGTGTCCTCTCACAGGGTCATTATGGTGAAATCGGCCCTACCAGAAAACACCATACGAATGCAGGAGGGTGACCACGGAAAGAGGTGAGGAGCACAGGGTTTGTACTTGTCCAAAAGCTTAAGAAACACAATCTGTTCAAGGACAGACACAGCCTTTAGTCAAGACAACTGGCCGTTTATGTTTGACTCCCATAAACATGAATCCTACAAAGAGTGATGAACCCATAGCTTTGATAGCAGACGCTGCTCCTTCTTCACCACACTAGTTACGATATAGCAGCTGCAAGGGTCATTACCTGTAGAACTAAATATAAAAAAAACGCTTGTTTTGCCAATAACAATAGCCCTCTCCAATACGTAGTACAAATATACAGCTGTTTTCTTTAGAGCTGGGATCCTGTCATTGGAATATTAAATTATCATTTTAATAATTCCTATTTGTGACTAGACATATTGTAAACTGAAATAGATTCCTCTCAGGCTCCAGGAAGTCTGGAGGGCTCGTGTATGTTAAACACCAGGAGGAAGGTCTTGTCATTGTTCTTTGTTGGGTTGGTTCTTCCTTTCCTTTCTGCATATGAAGGTGTGTCTTGTACTATCAAAAGAGTTTGCAGCCTCAACTGAGTGAGATCTGGTTTTGGAAGCAGAGACAGAGCCCTCTCTGCTATGTCTCTGCTTCAAAAATCACCTCTCCTTGGAAAAGGCAACCAATATTGAAAATACCAGAACGATGTCTTTTGTGTATGTGTTTTTGTGAGGGAGGACTGAGGTTAAAACAGCATTAACAGATTTCTAACTATTTGCTTAAAAAATTACATTGTGATTGTAATATCACATGTTTGTACTGATCATTTGTTCCTTTATATATTACTTTCATGCCAAATGGGAATAAATACAACATGGTCATTGCTTTATCACAAAATAAGAACTTTATTGATCTCAAAATGAAGAAATTTACAATGAATCACATCCATGGAAACACTTCCATTTAGATTCAAGGTAGATCGAAATAGATCTTGGTTTAATAATGCGTGGTCACTCCTGATCTAAGACTGGTCTAAAATGTAGCAGAGACCAACAATACATGGACTTGACACTTCAGAATCAGAATCATTTTTACTGCCATGAAAGAAACAAGAAGTCACAGAGAAGGACATTGGTTTTGTTTAATCAAAGTTACTCAGCTTTAACCTTCTCTGAAAACAACCAAGTGGACAATAAGAGACTAATCCCAGATGTTTTCTTTAGTGTGACGAGTGTGGAGCTCCACTCCGCAGAGAGGACCACACAGATAGACCCTATCCAGGACCAGCAGCAGAGTGACAGGTCAGGAAGGACTTCAGTCTGTTTAAATGCTTTGATCGGTCTTTGTAGCTGTAAAGAAAGTTTGATCCTTGTGTGGAGTCTACAGTAACATGTTGTTTTCCTGCAGTCGACTTAATATGGAGACAAAGGCTAAAGACAGAGAGCCCGCTCTGATACAGACTCCCACGTCTACTCGCTGTGACGCTGTAGACGAGAGGCTCGAAGACAGGTTAGATGGTTTTGTCCATTACTGGTACAAAAAGCACAGTATTCCATCTACAAAGTTTAACTGATGTAAATGTTGTCTCCTCAGGCCTAAAAGGAAATTTTGGATAAAGAGAACAGCCAAAGTTCAGCCTCTGAACGACTCCACACTGCCCCCTACTGAAGGTAAGAGTCTGCTCACCCTCATTAACAGCATGGAGGAAATGGTTAATCATGATTGTGTCTCTTTAGATGATTTTGTCCCAAAGAAGAAGAGGAAAAACATCTTCAGGAGGGCGTTTTCATTGCTCAAACGCTGCAGCTGTTTTAATTAAGCTAAGTATTCCTTTTAGCTTAAGGTAAAATGTCTTCTCCCACTATGATCTCTCCATCCATTTTTAAATAATGGATGGATAGATGATCCATCCATTTTCTAAATCCAAAACCCAATCGAGGAATTTGTGAATTATCTAAAACTTCAGTTCACAAATGTTCTTGATGGAATCTGACAGAGCAGGAGTTGTTACGTGAAGCAGAAAGGGAAGACAAGTCAGTCTGTAGAAGTGCTAAACTTTTAGAGACGTCTAGAGTCTGATTTTATTCCCATCTCCTTTGCACAATAACAGCTCAGGCTTAGTTCGATTACATGGAGAGTGTTGTGAACAGTTTGTTTTCAGATTTTGCCACAGTTTCTGGATTGGTTTTTGGTTTGGACCTGGTGTGTGACCTCTCCCAGGGTCATTATGGTGAAACCGGCCCCACCAGAGAACGTCATGGATGTCCAGAACAAGAGGTGAGGTTTGATTTTGGCTAGCACACCTATTTTATACTTGCCTTAAAAGCTACAGAAACACATTCTGTTCATTTTTACAGAATCCTTCAATACAGTGCCCTTTTTAATGTTGATGTTGTTCACAGACGCAGTAAGAGCAGCAGAGCTGAGGTTCAGGAAGCTCCTGTATCCTCTCACAGGGTCATTATGGTGAAACCGGCCCCACCAGAAAACACCAAACAACTACAGGAAGTTGACCACCGAAAGAGTTGAGGAGCACATGGTTTGTACTTGTCTTAAATCTTGAGAAACACAATCTGTTCAAGGACAGACACAGGCTCCAGACGCCTCAAACTTTAGTCAACAGAACTGGCCTGAATTAATCCTACAAAGAGCAGTGTCTCCATAGCTTTGACAGCAGACGCTGCTCCTTCTTCACCACAACAGTTACCATACAGCAGCCGCAAGGGGTATTACCTGTTGAACTATTTACATAAAACAAGGCGGAAAACGTAACTGCATTTTGCTGGGTTGCAACCATGTGACCAAAAGGGGGTTTGTCCTAGAACAGGAAGTAATTTTTTCCTATTAGTTACAAACAGGAGCATTTCTCATCTTAGAATACTCTTATTTTTAGTGAAAGCTATTTTCAATGCAGCGTACGCCTGTAGAGCTTGAATGAGTCCATTTTATTTCACAATGAGGAGGATTAAGCAGCTGTTATAGTGACGAGAGTGGAGCTCGTCACTCCAAGATGACAGTTCTGATCAATAATACAATCAATAATTCCATCTACAAAGTTTAACTGATGTAAATGTTGTCTCCTCAGGCCTAAAAGCAAACTTTGGGAAAAGAGAACAGCCAAAGTGCAGCCTCTGAACGACTCCACACTGCCCCCTACTGAAGGTAAGAGTCTGCTCACCCTCATTAACAGCATGGAGGAAACGGTTAATCATGATTGTGTCTCTTTAGATGATTTTGTCCCAAAGAAGAAGAGGAAACACATCTTCAGGAGAGCGTTTAGTTTAGAGGGAAATGTGTTCTCCCATTTATGAAAATGGATGGATAGATGATGTATCCATTTTCTAAATCCAAAACCCAAGGAACTCAAGGAATTTGTGAATTATCTAAAACTTCAGTTTCAAATGTTCTTGATGGAATCTGACAGAGCAGGAGTTGTTACGTGAAGCAGAAAGGAAAGACAAGTCAGTCTGTAGAAGTGCTAAACTTCTCCTTTGCACAATAACAGCTCAGTCGCAGATAGAGAGAGATGGAGAGTGCTGTGAACAGTTTGTTTTCAGATTTTGCCACAGTTTCTGGATTGGATTTTGGTCTGGACCTGATGGAAACTAAACATCCTCCTCAGCCTTAAAGGTATTTTAGAGGATTCTCTTCTTTCAGGAGGATCATCTAAACTTTTGGTCTTCCTAATTGTCAATCATTCTGGTGACAGTGACGTAAGGCCGTCGTACGTGAGCGTCCGTCAGTTGCATGGATCACGGAGCGGAGAGAAGAGCGGCCATGATGAAAGGTAATAAGTTTTAAAAAACGCTGTAATTTTCAAGTGTTGAAGTAACTCAAAGAGAAAGCTTCTGTGACGGACTTTCTCTGTTATAACACTTGTATTTACAGTAATCATTAGATTTCAAAAATATATATTTTATGTGAATATGTGATTTTTTTGATTTTGGCCCTGGATTTTGCATCAGTTTATATAAAGTAATTTGTGTTCGGTCTAAATGTGGAAACATGTATTTACTGATGACAGATGAACACCTGTAAACATTTGGACACTGAAGAGGCTTGGGACGTGCTCTTTCACCAGATTTCAGGTCATTTCTGTATTAGTACTTTCTGACGTCTTGAAAGCAAACAGCCTGTTACTGATCATGTAGAGTATAAAGGGATACATGTATTCAACTAGAAGTACTTCAATAAAAGAAACATTCTGCTCAGTGATTCTGAGGTTGGAGAAAACAAACAAAGTGTAAATAAATAAAACATCACTTTTCATGAAAAAGATGCTTCACACAAAGAACTCAATCATAACAAACATGTTTTATTTCTTTCCAGATTCTGAAATGAAGCTGAAACGCAACTTCAACCTGAAAGACCGGCCACGGCTCTCACCGCCAGGGCCAGCCAATCACACAGCCCGGCCAGCCTCTCGAGCCTCAGCCAATCACACAGCCCGGCCAGCCCCTTGACAACCCACTGACAGCAAAGCGGCCACTCCCCGATAAACGGCCCTTCCTGAAGCTTTTAATACCCACCACCTCCCCAGCGCCTCCTCGGCTCCTGGTTCCGGCTCCTGGTTCCGGCTCTGGCTCCTGCTCCTGCTCCGCCTACGCCCCATTCACACCATGCTTCTAGCCACCACCAGTGCTTGACCCCGGGGGGTCTGAGATCATCTACAGCAGCTGACCATCTCCCCCTCTGTAAGTGTCACTGTCGGGGTCAATGCGCCAATCAAATAAATCTTTTTCATGCATTAATGTTTCTGTCTTGGTCTCTTCAGATTGAAGCGACACTGAAGAAGAGACAGCAGTGTCAGAGGAAGACGTCCAGGATTCTACTGCTGCGGCTACTGCTGTTATTACTGCTGTTATTATTACTGCTGATGTTTTTACTGCTGATGTTTTTACTGCTGATGTTGTTACTGCTGATGTTGTTACTGCTGATGTTATTACTGCTGATATTTTTACTGCTGATATTATTGCTGTTGCTGTGGTTACCTTCTTTTTTGTTGTTTGTTGTTGTTAATTATTTTGTTAACGCTTCTGTTACTGTTGTTGTTATTACTTTTTCTTGTTTGTTTTTTGTTGTTAGTAATTATTGTTGATGCTTCTGCTGTTACTGTTGTTCCTGCTGCTGTTCCTGCTGCTGTCCCTGCTGCTTCTGATGTCTTCAGATCATGTGAGGGGCAGAGCCACTGGTCTCTAACTCTCCATGACTTATGGGCGACACGGTGGTGCAGCGGTTAGAGCTTGTGCCTCACAGCAAGAAGGTCCTGGGTTCTATTCCATCTCCAGGCCTTTCTGTGTGGAGTTTGCATGTTCTCCCCGTGTCTGCGTAGGTTTCCTCCGGGTGCTCCGGTTTCCCCTACAACTAAAAAAATATGTAAAATTGGTCTATATAAATAAAGATGACTTACTAACTATGAGTTTGTCGATTTAATAATCCACGGTGAAGCTGGAGCTGAAAGAAGCAGAAACCAGGAAGAAGAAACGATGGTGTTTTTGGTGCAGTCGGAGAAAGTCAAAGTTCATTTCACCAGAGGCCTCTGAGCAAGAAGAACACACACATCTTGGATTTAAACACCACACATTTTACTTTCTTTACTTCAGGTGACTTTATTGTTTGTGTCACATAAATGCTATACGTACATTGGAGCAATCTCGTTTTTACATCATATCATTTGGTAAAATAGAACAAAATAAGAAAATGTACCTTTGAGAAAATGTTGGCGTGAGTTTTCTGTAGATATCTCAGACACCATTTATTGTCAGCACTTGTTATACATGTTTTTGTCCACATGATGGCGTTCGAGCATATAAATCCCCTCAGAGCTGCAATGCCTCATTGCTTCATGGGGCTTCATATTTCTTCACGGGGCTTCATATTGCTTCATGGGGCTTGTGACGCAAAAGCAAGAAAAACATTTGGTCTTTCTTCTTTGTCAAACTTCAAAAGCGGTCACAGATCTATTCTTTATCTCCCAACCGTGGACATGTTCTTGGTCTAAGCTTACAAGTTTACAATAGCTTCTGTTCACCATCCACCCATCCATCCATTTTCTACCCCTTAGTCCATTTCTGGGTCAGGGGGGGTGGCAGTCAGAGCTGCACCCAGTACACAGAGCACCAGCCCCTCACTGATCCTCCTGCAGGTGGTGAGTCCACAGGAGGATGGCTGCTCTATGGCATAGCTTTGATCTTGCAGCAGGGGCTTCAGGCAAAGTGGGGTTAAGTGTCTTGCCCGAGGACACAACGACAGCAGTCATCAGTGGGAGTCGGTGGAGAAGGTCTCATGGTGGGCTGGAACCCTCTAGCCTGGCTCTGCCAGACCCATGTAGTTCCGCCAGAGGCGTTTGGCTGAGCCACATTGGTCTGGTACCGACGCTATACCAAACTATTTCAGAAAATAATCGAACAATCAGGATCGCCGGTGTTACGTGGGGTTTGCACTGCCTTCTCGTGCGTGTCTCATGCAGCAGCGAAAGGAATCCAAGATGGCGGACCGCAAATCTTTTTAAAAGTTTAAATACGAACGAATTAAGACACAGAGGTCACTTTTAATGCAATTTGAGGCAAGATGTCAATATATGTGTGTTTTAAGAGTCAAATGTCCGTGTAAAGTTTGGTTTAAGCACTAGGGTAGGTGTTCCTGTAACAACCAGTGGGGGAGGGTCCCAGCTCAAAAGTGGCCTAAATGACGTGCGCTGACATGCTTGCAATACCTACCCGGGCCGATGGGGGTGGACCCAGAAGAAGAATTAGCCATATAGCATTGGCAGACCTCTCAAAAACGTCTTTACAGGATGGACCAAAAGTTGGCTCTTGGCCCAAAGCTCCGTTCCACATGTGTGTCAATGCTGAGGGTGGTGAATTTATTTGGTCCACTCTAGTTTATTTGCTGTTCATTTTTTAAGTCTCTCGTTCAAATGAATGGAGCTGCGCCGGTTGACGCATGCGCAGATGCGTTTTTTCACCATTTTCTTGTGGGCGGGACCTCTCGCGGCCATTTTGGATAGCTCCAGTAGAGCACATTTTTTGGCCCATTCGTTAGAACGGCAGAGATAGGCGTGACTGTCCGTTAATATATACAGTCTATGGTTACAACACTATGCAGCGGGGTTGCCAGGTTGGGTGATTTCCTGCATACTTTTTTCCAAGAGACTTGTAGGTAATAAATTAAAAGAAAGACAATAAACAGAATCATGATAGCCCAAGTTGATTACATTACATTTTTAGCCCAAAAATAATTCTGAGTGTTTATTTTTTTGGGCCTTCTCGCGGATTTTGGGCTGGAAAATCTTGCCGGCATTTGGCAACCTATGGGAGTCGTGTGCTTCAATGTGAGTAGTTGAAAGAAGACGTCGTTCAAGAAAACGGACAAGTGGTTTATCCAATCACATACAAGGATTTTTACAAGTCCCTGCCTTCTGAAATACAATTCCTATCAAAGAGTACCAGACCAATGTGGTTCAGCCAAACACCTCTGGTGGAGCATGGCGGAACTATATGGGTCTGGCAGGGCCAGGCTAGGAACCCACAACCTTCAGGCTCAAAGACCAATGCTCTACCAACTGAGCCACTGTTGCTTCTGTTCACCGCTAAACAAAAATTTAATAATAGAATTAAAAGTCATAACACTGTACAACTTTTGTAGATGGTTAATAAAAGTTTGTCACCGATGAATCACTTCACCCTGAATACATCTGTGTTGTTTGCTCTGCCAACAGTGGTTTTTGACTACTCTCTGACTTTTTTGCCTCACCCCTTGTGTATTGTTGCTCCGCTAATTGATCCACTGTTTTTGATTCCTGCCCTCCTCTGTCTGCAATGTTTGCTTCACTCCCTTTTGAAAAGTTTTCCAGTTTGGATAAGAGGCGGATGGAAATGTTCAGTTTCTTAACTCAAAAGAAATGCCCTGATTTATTGTATTTATTTATTTGGGTTTTAAAAGGAGGTACAATGCATATGAATGAACATTTGACCAATGTAAATATGCCAGATTATAGCTTTAGGCTAATTTCCATCTGCAGACCCCCTGCAGGTTGATGTTAACGAAGAACATAAAAACAAACAAGACGTAACAATACAAATCATGCAAAGAATACAATGTACACAAGATTATATACTGTACAGGACATGAACAAGGACTGAACACGTACAAACATGTGAGACAGTATACAACAACTGACAGAAGGACTTGAGACGATGGCTTTTAGTAAAGAGTAAATGGAATAAGATATGCAGAGAAGTATGTCAAGAGTAAGAATATTGCATCTATAGCGTAAGTTATTTAATCTTCTTTAAATGATTTTATATTTTCTGTAGATGAAGACTTATCTTATGACTGTCTCTGCTGCGTGGACACACGTTTTTGAGGACTTGGAGTCCTGTTCTGAGGTGGTGGAAGTGTGATGAGAGGAGTCTCTCTCCATGGTGCTGAAAGGGGTGTTCCCTGTATCGCTTCTGTCTGTCATTGTATATTTTCTCTCAGTGGAGAGGCATGATCAAAATTGATATGGCAAGATTAATTATGAGGATAAATAAATTATTTAAATCATAACACAGTACAACTTTTGTAAATGGTTAATAACAGTTGGTCCATTTTATCTAAACCTGTGTCTTACTATTGAGCTTTTTCATTTTCAATATTCATTTTTGAGTCCTTTGCTTTTTACTTTGTACACTCATGATTGTGTGTCCTCCTCTGACTCAAACTTGA